GGGAACCCTCCTACATTGTTGGTGGGAATGCAAGTTGGTACAGCCACTTTGGAAAACAGTGTGGAGCTTCCTCAAAAAATTAAAAATAGACCTACCCTATGACCCAGCAATTGTACTACTGGGTATTTACCCCAAACACAGATGTAGTGAAAAGAAGAGCCACAGGCACCCCAATGTTCATAGCAGCAATGTTACAATAGCCAAACTGTGGAAAGAGCCGAGATGCCCTTCAACAGATGAATGGATAAAGAAGATGTGGTCCATATATACAATGGAATATTACTCAGCCATTAGAAAGGATGAATACCCAACTTTTACATCAACACGGATGGGACTGGAGGAGATTATGCTAAGTGAAATAAGTCAAGCAGAGAAAGTCAATTATCATATGGTTTCACTTATATGTGGAACATAAGGAATAGCATGGAGGACATTAGGAGAAGGAAGGGAAAAACGAAGGGGGGTAAATCGGAGGAGGAAACATACCATGAGAGACTATGGACTCTGAGAAACAAACTGAGGGTTTTAGAGGGGAGGGGGGTGGAGGGTTGGGTTAGCCCAGTGATGGGTATTAAGGACATGTATTGCATGGAGCACTGGGTGTTATACACAAACAAGGAATCATAGAACACTACATCAAAAACTAATGATGTACTGTATGGTGACTAACATAATAAAAAAAATAAAAATAAATTAAAAACTTTAAAAAAAGAGATAACTACAGGCCAATATCCCTGATGAACATGGATACAAAAATTCACAATAAAATACTAGCAAATACTGAACCCAATAACTTATTAATAAAATCATTCACCACAATCAAGTGGCACTTATTCCTGGGTTGCCAGGGTGGTTCAAAATTTGCAAATTGAGCAATGTGATACACCACATTAATAAAAGAAAGGATAAGAATCATATGATCACTTCAATAGATGAAGAAAAAGCATTTGACAAAGTACAACATCCATTCATGATAAAAATTTAAAAAAACCCTCAACAAAGTAGGTTTAGACAGAACATACCTCAGCATAATAAAAGCCATATACAAAAAAACCAGCTAATCTCCTCAATGGGGAAAAACTGAGAGCTTTTCCTCTACGGTCAGGAAAAAAGACAAGGATGTCCACTCACACCACTGTTATTTAACATAATACTGGAAGTACTAGCCACAGCAATCAGACAGCAAAAAGAAAAGACATCCAAATTGGCAAGAAAGAAGTCAAACTTTCACTATCTGCAGATGACATGATACTCTATAAAAAAACCCTGAAAGACTCCATCAAAAAACTGCTAGATGGGCATTAAAGAGGGCACGTGATATGATGAGCACTGGGTACTATACTGAACTAATAAATCATTGACACTATATGAAAAACTAATGCTGTACTATACCTTGGCTAACTGAACTTAGATTTAAAAAAGGAAAAAAAGGGCGCCTGGGTGGCTCAGACGGGTAAGCATTTGCCTTCGGCTCAGGTCATGATCCCGGGGTCCTGGGATCGAGTCCCGCATCGGGCTCCCTGCTAGGCGGGGAGCCTGCTTCTCCCTCTTCCTCTGCCTCTCTCTCTCTCTTTCTCTCTCTCTGATTCTCATGAATAAAAAATAAATTTAAAAAACATTATATAAAAGATTATATATTAAAAAAAATAAAAATAAAAAAGGAAAAAAAAACTGCTAGAACTGATAAACAAATTCAGTAAGGTCACAGGACACAAAATAAACATACAGAAATCTGTTATATTTCTATACACCAACAATGAAGCAGCAGAAAGAAACATTAAGGGATCAATCCCATTTACAAATGCACCAAAACCCATAAGATACCTAGGAATAAACCTAACCAAAGAGGTAAAAGACCTGTACTCTGAAAACTATAAAACACTAATGAAAGAAAATTAAGACGACACAAAGAAATGGAAAGACATTCCATGCTCATGGATTGGAAGAACAAGTGTTGTTAAAATGTCTATACTACCCAAAGCAATCTACACATTTAATGCAATCCCTATCAAAATACCACCAGCATTTTTCACAGAGCTAGAACAATCCTAAAATTTATATGGAACCACAAAAGGCCCCAAATAGCCAGAGGAATGTTGAAAAAGAAAACCAAAGCTGGAAGCATCACAATTCCAGATTTCAAGTTATACCACAAAGCTGTAGTGACCAAAACAAGATGGTACTGGCACAAAAATATGACACATAAATCAACAGAACAGAACAGAAAACCTAGAAATGAACCACAGCTATGTGGTCAATTAATACTCAACAAAGTAGGAAAGAATATCCAATGGGAAAAAGTCTCTTCAACAAATGGTGTTGGGAAAAGTGGACAGCAACATGCAAAAGAATGAAACTGGGACATTCTCTTACACAAAACATAAAAATAAATTCAAAATGGATTTAAGACCTAAATATAAGACCGGAAACCATAAAAATCCTAGAGGAGAACACAGGCAGCAACCTCTTTGCCACTGGCCATAGCACTTCTTTCTAGATAGGTCTCTTGAGGCAAGGAAAGCAAAAGCAAAAATAAACTATTGGGACTTTATCAAAATAAAAAGCACACCAAAGGAAACAATCAACAAAACTAAAAGGCAATCTATGGAACGGGAGAGGATATTTGCAAATGACATTAACGATAAAAGATTAGTATCCAAAATATATAAAGAACTTATAAAACTTAACACCCCAAAATAAATAATCTAATTAAAAGGGGGCAGAAGATATGAATAGACATTTTTCCAAAGAAGACCTACAGATGGCCAACAGACACATGAAAAGATGCTCAACATCACTCATCATCAGAGAAATACAAATCAAAACTACAATGAGGTATCACCTCAAACCTGTCAGAATGTCTAAAAACAACACAAGAAACACAAGTATTGATGAGGATGCAGAGAAAGGGAAACCTCTTGCACTGCTGGTGGGAATGCAAATTGGTGCAGCCACTCTGGAAAACAGTACGGAGTTTTTTCAAAAAGTTAAAAATAGAGCTACCCTAAGATCCAGCAATTGCACTACTAGGTATTTACCCAAAGAACACAAAAATACTAATTCAAAGGGATACATGCACCCAGTGTTTATAGCAGCATTATCTACAATAGCCAAATTATGGAATAGCCCACATGTCCTCTGGCTGATGAATGGATAGAGAAGATGTGGTATAGGGGCGCCTGGGTGGCTCAGTCAGTTAAGTGTCTGCCTTCAGCTCAGGTCATGATCTCAAGGTCCAGGGATCGAGCTCTGCTCTGGGCTCCCTGCTCAGTGGGGAGCTTCTCCCTCTGCCTCTCCCCAACCTGGGCTCATGCTTGCACTCTCTCTCTCTCTCAAATAAATAAATAAAATCTTTTAAAAAATTTTTGGCGGAACATTAATCCCAGATATCAAGACTTAACATAAAACTATAGAAGCTCCAAGGATTTATTATTGGCAAACAGATAAAATGACCAATGGAGCAAAACAAATGGGAACAAAGTAGACAAAGTAGACATAATTCAGTGAAGAAAGGATGGTGGATATCCATCCACAAAAACAAAAATTACATCTCTATTTTAAACTATACACAATTCAATCTCAAATGGATTAAAGATCTAAATGTGAAGGACAAAATTTCACATACCTCTAGAATTTTAGAAGAACTTTTAAAATATAAGAAAATATCTTTCTGGTCTTGGGATAGTAAAGGATTTCTTAAAGACATAAAAACATAAACCATATGGGAAAAGACTGACGATAATTCCGAAAGCATCAGAATTTAAAACTTCTGTTTATATTGCAAGCACAGTGAAAAAACAAGCCACAAAGAGAGGATAACTATAGTATCTTTTTTTGTTGTTTGTTTGTTTTTGTTTTGTTTTTTTGTTTTTTTTTACTATAGTATCTTTAAAAGGAATATTATCAAGAATATATAGGTAATTCCTATAAATCAATTTGAAAAAGATAAATAACCTAATAGAAAAATGGGCAAAATTTACAAAAATTCATTCAAGAGAATCAAGAGAAAATTTATAGAGGAGGAATTCTGAATGGCCAAAAAAGATGAAAAGATCCCCAATTCCATTTGTAATCAAGGAAACAGAAAACAACATATAGAAAAAAATGCAAAAGTCTGAACACATCAAGTATTGATTGGTACTTGAGAAAATAACAACTCCATGATATCTGGTGAAAGGGTAAAACTGTAGAGAGCACTTTGACAATACTTAGAAGAGTTAAAACTGCCCATATCTTGGATCCAGGTATTCCTCTTCTGGGCATAAACCCAGAGAAATATATACCCAAGGAGAAATGTAAAAGAATGTTTGTTGCAGCATTTTATTACAGAAAATGTGAAGACAGTTAAATTTCCTTTAATATGGGAATGAATTTTAAAAATAAAATATTTATACAATGACTACAGATGCAACTGTTTGGATATATACTGTAGGTATGAAAACAGATAAATTTCAAAATTATAATATGGAGCAAAAAGGCAAACTGCAAATAGATATCTAGAGTATCACTTAAAAACTTAAGCACACAAAACATACATAATGTATGGGTAATAAATATGTAGAAAAAGTATAAATACATACAAGAGTTACAAAAGTGACATGGAAGTTATCCAGGCCAACCATTAGGGAGGGAGGTGGGGAAAGGATGAAGAGTTGTATCTGTAATATTTTGTTTCTTTACAAAGACAGTCTTGAAGCAATATGGAAAAATCCTTCAACTAGGGAGATGGGTATATGTGTGTTATTTATATTACTTTTTTTTTTTTAACTTTCTTAGTATTTTTGAAATAATTCCTAATTTCTAAAAATGCTAGATTATTCTAGTTGTAGGGCAGTTAATAGATTAAAGCAGAACCAGAGTGGATATAGGAGAACAGTTAGTCTACAATTCACAGTATATTTAAATAATTTAAATGTTTATTTATATATTTATGGAATGCCAAACAAAACTCTTTTAACAATGATGTAGGATGTCCTACAAGTATATTTTCCCAAACTTACCTGCTCGACCTCTCTGTTGAGAGAATCTACTTTTTCTTTTAATCTGTTACCCTCTGCCTCAGCAGTGATAAGTTCTAATTTGAGGGTATTGTTATCTGCCTCTGCTTGACGGGCCTTATTTTCCCAGTTTTCGGCATCTTCATTGGCTTTCCGGAGTTGATCCATCATTTGCCGGTTCTCAGATTCCTAAAAAGCAAATCTTAGGTATTACTTTAAAAGATGTAAAATGGTCAACATATGATGCAAAGTAAACATTATTTGCCAGATCATTGGGAATTTATTTGCTACAGGATCATTTATAACATAACCTCAAGGAATCCTATCCATACGCAATTTAGAATGTTGGGCATCCTGTAATTAACAAAAGGGAGTGGGACCAGGATCTGCCCTGGCTCGAGTCACACTCACCCATCTAGTAAAGTTAAGCTGTTTACTCTTATCTTTAGAACCTGGATGAATATGTTTTTATATTTGCTTTTGTTCAAACAAAATCCTTCATTGCCTCCTTTCCCTATAGATCTGTTTACTTACTACTTATTGGTCTGGTTTTTGAGTCTCTGCTTTGGCCTAACTTTTTGTATCTGTGGATTCCCTTGTTCTTGACCACTTTTCTAGGTTGTACTGGCCACAGAACTTCTGACTGTTTACATATCTCAAGCATCAACTTCTGATAATTCTGTTGGTTTGGCACATTTCCTGTCTAGCTCCTGCCTTTCATTCATAACCCCAACCTTAATTTTCTCCATCATGGACTATTCTATGATTCACTTTTGTTCACTGTTCTAATAACTTGTCTAAAATTACTAAGAAGTAAAATACCAAACTTATGCCAATAAACACTGTTCATAAATATATAGTCATAATGGGCATTTGATATAGAACCACATTTTTAAAACCTTAAAAGGTCTATCATGACAGATTGACTAAAGTGGGATCTTATTTCTCTCTCGTTTTTTTTTTTTTAAGATTTTATTTATTTATTTGAGACAGAGAGAATGAGAGACAGAGAGCACATGAAAGGGGGGAGGGTCAGAGGGAAAAGCAGGCTCCCCGCCGAGCAGGGAGCCCGATGCGGGACTCCATTCCGGGACTCCAGGATCATAACCTGAGCCGAAGGCAGTCGCCCAACCAACTGAGCCACCCAGGCGCCCCTTCTCTCTCGGTTTTTAAGATTTTATTTATTTATTTGAGAGTTGTGTGTGTGTGAGTGAGGGGAGGGGCAGAAGGAGAGGGAGAGAGAGAATCTCAAGCTTGACTCAGAGCTTGATCTCAGGACCCTGAGATCATGACCTGAGCGGAAACTAAGAGTTGGTCATCTAACTTACTGGGCCACTGTGGCACCCCCAGGGGATATTATTTCTAAAGGAAAACAACCAGCTCCACAAATGATATACTATATTGAGTAATCATTATGAGGCTATTTTTGAAAACATATTTTAGTAAAATGGTTTCGCCAATTAATTCTTAAAAGGTCATTATAATTTTGGTAATTAATTAAAAAGGTACTAGATCTCTTTCTCTCTTTCTCTCCTACCTGTTAATAAACACTGAATATCTCTATCAGAACCATAAAGTGATCAAATTGCAATAAGCAATGTCTCACCGTTATAAGGCTTTCAAGTCAGATTTTCACCAACATGGTTAATCACGAGCCTGGTTGAAATTCAGTTAATATCGCCACCTTGTGGTTTGGTTACCTATGACTAATGTAAAAGATTTTGCCAAGTCTATAGTTAACAAGTTAACATACTATACTACTGCATTGGCTTTCAAGATTCAGATATTCTGAATGTGCCACTATAAATCTGATGTGTTTTCCATTATTGTACTAAAAACAGTTGTGTACAAAGTGTGTACCTCAGAGGTACAGAGTACAGTATACATAAACCATCAATCTTCACCCTCTTAGCTTTCTGTAGTACTCACTGTCTATGCCAGTCGCTTAACACTGCCTTACAGCTTTACGCTGTTAGGTATGGATGTCCAGTCTCCCAATAACATTCTGAATTCCTCGAAGATAGAAACCATTTTTTAAATATTACATTTAGTTTTCTGACTAAAATAGGAACCATTTTTTATATTAAATGTAGTTTTGGGACTCCTAGGTCACGTGGTTCAAAGTTTAAGGAGTAAAAATGATTGTTATTAAATGTCTCTTCTGGCCACCAAATACCTAGTGCACGTCCCTCTGGGCAACCAGAGACCATATTTTCCCCTTTTTGTATCCACTCAAAGCAGCCAGAGCAGTGTGGGGCCCAAGACAAGCAACATTTTAAAGAAAGTGAAACTATTCCTTGGTATTCTCCAATTCCCTCTTTCAGGATCTGTTTACCTCTTTCTGGTGCTGCCCCCACCTCTGTACCCCACAGCTCCCTCTGGTCTATGACTGGGCTCATTACAGTACTCCCCCACAGCAAAGCTAGGACTGCCTCAGCTGGAATCCTTTGTACTACCTGACTGAATTATGGCTACAGCCTCTGCTAAATGATCTCCTTTCTGATTTTGTTACCCTTCTGATTTATTCTTGCCAACGTTGCCAGAATGATCTTTCTAAAACGCAACTATTCAAATTTCTGTGCTCATGTTGCAACAAAAGATTCCTGAAAACAGAATTCAAACAAGTCCTTCTCCCCCTGTATTACCACCTACCTACACACTCCCCTCTAGCTATAGAACCTACTTTTTTTCCCCTTACACTTTGCTCATGTTGTCTCCACTGCCTGGGGTGCCATTCTGTTTCCTGTTTGTCATGTCTGGGACCTCAGCACCTAGCATACTACATGCTGAATGAATGAGTGAATAAATCAAGTATTCAACAATTCTTAGTGGACTATGGTTTGTTCTCTCAAAGGACTGCCTGGATGCACCCAGTTTTGTGTGAAATGAAATCTCTTTTAAAAACCTCATACTAGCCTCAAGACATTAAAAATAGAGCTACCCTACGACCCAGAAATTGCACTAATAGGTATTTACCCCAAAGATACAGATGTAGTGAAAGGAAGGGGCACCTCTACCCCAATGTTCATAGCAGCAATGACCACAAAGGCCAAACTATGGAAGGAGCCGAGATGTCCTTCAATAGATGAATGGATAAAGAATATGTGGTTTATATAGACAATGGAATATTACTCAGCCATCAGAAAGGATGAATACCTACCATTTGCTTCGATATGGATGGAACTGGAGGGGATATGCTAAGTGAAATAAGTCAAGCAGAGAAAGGCAATTATCATATGGTTTCGCTCATATGTAGAACATAAGGAATAGCACAGAGGACCATAGGGGAAGGGAGAGAAAACTGAATGGGAAGAAATCAGAGAGGAAGATAAACCATGAAAGACTCTAGACTCTGGGAAACAAACTGAGAGTTGCAGAAAGGAGGGGGTGGGGGATGGGGTACCTGGGTGATAGATATTAGGGAGGGCACGTGTTGTGATGAGCACTGGGTGTTATACTCAACTAATGAATCGTTGAACACTATATCAAAAACTAATGATGTACTATATGCTGGCTAATTCAACATAATAATAAAAAATGTATAAAAAAGATGAATGATGTATATGTTGGCTAACTGAACATAATAAAAAAAATACATTCTTTTCCTGAAAACAAAACAAAACCTCATAGTAGGATGCTATCAGCTGAAAGCAGCCTGATGTGTGATGTCTGAAAATACAATTCCACAATCTAAAAGCCCCTGTCTCTAATGGTGGAATTTCAAGTAACGTGACAGGCTAGGGAGAAAAGGGGAAGTGTCTAACACTGACTAAAAGCTTAGTACATTAAGTGTTCAGATATTCATTTATTTATATTCTACCTTCTTTCAGAATATACTTAAATGGTTTACTATGCTAGGTCTATCTTACTTTCTTGGGCCTTCTTTTCAATTACAGATGGGCCACTGAGACTCAGAGAGGTTGACACCAGCCCACATAAGTCATGTTATTAGTGAGAAGAGGGGTCAGCCCTATCTGACATTGAAGCTTCCATCTGTTTACAGTATTATGTTGCTGGTACCTTAAAATCATGACTTGTAGGAAACCACCTGCTTTGCCAATGTAAGGCTGCTGCCTTACTGCCTTACTTGCAATATAGGAGTCCTCAGAATTTCTTCTCTCTCAAGGTCTTAAACAGTCTTAGACACACCAAAAATGTTCAAGACATTTTTGTAAACTGTTAATAAATGAGATGTTAAATAAAACAAGGAAAACAGTTTGGGGGGGTGGAAAGTTCCTATTAATGATTTGAGTGGTATGTAGGGAACACTATACCTATTATAGTAATCAATCCAATTACAGTATTTTATTTTTTTATTTAAATTCAATTAGCCAACATATAGTACATCATTAGTTTCAGATGTAGAGTTCAGTTATTCATCAGTTGCATATAACACCTAGTGCTCATCACATCACGTGCCCTCCTTAATGCCTACCACGCAATTACCCCATCTCCCCCACTCACCTCCCCTCCAGCAACCCTCAGTTTGTTTCCTATAGCTAAGAGTCTCTCATGGTTTTTTCTCCCTCTCTGATGACTTCCCATTCAGTTTTCCCTCCCTTCCCCTATGATCCTTTGTGCTTTTTCTTATATTCCACATAGGATTGAAACCATATAATTGTCTTTCTCTGATTGACTTATTTTGCTCAGCATAATACCCTCCATTTCCAACCACATCGATGTAAATGGTAACTACTCATCCTTTCTGAATTCCATTTATTCCATGTATACCAATATTCCATATATACCACCATCTTCTTTATCCATTCATCTGTCAATGGACATCTCGGCTCCTTCCACAGTTTGGCTATTGTGGATACTGCTGCTATGAACACTGGGATGCAGGTGCCCCTTCAGATCACTACATTTGTATCTTTGGGGTAAATACCCGGTAGTGTAATTGCTGTGTCATAGGGTAGCTCTATTTTTAACCTCTTGAGAATCTCCATAATGTTTTCCAGAGTGGCTGTGTATCAGCTTGCATTCCCACCAACAGTGTAAGAGGGTTCCCCTTTCTCCACATCCTCCTTGTTGGTTGCTGTCTTGTTAATTTTAGCCATTCTGACTGGTGTGAGGTGGTATCTCATTGTGGTTTTGATTTGTATTTCCCTGATGCCAAGTGATGTGGAGCATTTTTTCATATGTCTGTTAGTCATTTGTAGGTCTTCTTTGGAGAAGTGTCTGTTCAT